CAAGTTTCATATTATTTTAATCATTTTTAAGAATATTCTTACCCTACAGAAAAAATATTTTCCGAGATTTCAGATTGCATACACTAAATTAACGTAGAAAGTATAATTTACATAGACTATAAAGAAAACCTTAAGATTCAGACTTATAAAAACAAAACAAAACAAAAAAAACTGGTGTTTTCCGTATGGATTTGGCAAAGAATAAGTGAAGAAACTATCTATTCTCAGAGGTAATCAATGTTAGAATAAAATAAATTCAGTTATTTTCAAGAATTTCAATATTTATTTATAATTTATTTTTCTATTATAAATTGTCACCAGTTTTTCCCCTATAAAAGTATTACCCACTTCATAATAAGTATTACAGTACTACTTTATTCAGAGCCGGATTTGCGTGTAATCTAAACCAGCATTGGTCTTGCATTATGAGTCTACAGCTTAGGGCCCCATATTTTTTAATGTATCATTATTTAGTGAAGTGAAAGAGCCTGTTATATATTATAGCTTAGGGCCACACAAGTTTAAGTTTAACCCTGACCTTTTTACTACTTTATTATAGACCTAATACTTTAGATACTTAATCATCTAGCAACATTCTCTTATTTTTTCGTTAATTGCATACTTTGCATAAGCAATAAAGTATTAAATATAATAATTGGGTTACAATTTTTAAAAAATCTTTATGAAAATCTAAGTCAGTGTGTTAATGTTTTTAAAACTTTACTTTCTGTTTTGTCGTCATTTTATAGAAAAAATTAACTGTAACTGACGTATTGATATTCGATAATCTCTTTTAAATTGAAAAATAGTGAAGCGAAGTATTCTTAGAGTAAAGTAATTGGAGATATTGCCTGCAGAAAATTCCCAGTTGATCGGGTAGATTATTTAATTAATTTACGGATATATTGTTTGAATAGCTGTCGATTGTTGAAAATGATTCCTAAATCATTATATTCGGCTAATAGGAAACTGATTTCTGGTTTATGTATATTGTATCTATTAAGTATATAACGAGCTTCAAGGTGCATTATAACTACCGCTACTAAACGTATCACTGAATGTAAAAGTGAATTAAAGTCATAGTAAAATTGTTACAGCTGCTTTCTCAGCAATAATTATAGTTAGAACTGATGCGTATGAAGTTTTCGTTAACAATACACTCTTAAATACTGATTTATGATCATGAAATAAAAGAATTATTCAACAAGAATATCCACTAACAACAGGGAAAAAAATCACTGCAAAATTTTCTTAAATAGTTGAAAATATTCTATGTATTTTTGAATAGTTTTAAGCATAAAATATCAATTAAATCAAAATTAAAAAAAATAATAATTTTTTTAGAAAGGCGAATTCTATCGATTGATACGATATTAAGTTTCTATTAGAACATCCTTTTTCTATTGCTAGAAGCTCAATACTTACTGATCTTTCAATCAAAAAAAATTTCGTGTACGTCACGCTATACTCAATTCTGCAAATAATTAAGAACTTATATATAAAAATAAATAAAAAAAAATTGTTATCTGTTACTAGTTAGATGACAAATTATGATTAAAACTTAGTCCTGCAAAGTAACTCGTGGATAAAATAATTCTTTGATGGAAGTTATATAAAAAAAAAAGAGAGAAAGAAAATAGTTATTACTTTTTACTAACACTTATGGAGGAGTTAACAGCTATTTTTCTTCGACCTTTAAAAGGTCAAAGGAAAATTTTTAGTGTTTTCCACAGGCGGTTATGAAAGGTGATGATTGTTTTCTCCTTTTCCTTTCTTCTATCGATGAACTAAGAGAAAAAGTATCATTTATCTTGTTCTCTAACTTTTCTATAAATAAGTGTTTTACTGATGGTTGAAATTGTTATCAAAGACCAATCATATTTTTGTTTTTCTTGCGAAAATTTTCGAAACATTTTTCTAGACAGTAGTCTAATTAAGAACGACAAATTGAGCTGAAAATTTGATTAATAATCCATGAATATAATTTACAAGAACGGCAAAAGGTAATCGTTACACGAGTATCATTTATTTATTTATTTTGATAGAGAATAAGAGATTCTTTCAAATTTTATGAAGTCTAAATAAATTATTTATCAAATCATGTTATACTTCATTATTTCCCAATCGATTATACAATTAATAAAGTAATTTAAATAATATATTAATTGATTAAATGAGACGATACGTCAGTAAAAAAACTTGTTTATTCGCTAAATATTATAGATAAAATAAAGATTCATTTAATAGAATTTTAAAAGAATTTGCTGTGCCACATTAGAAATAACTGAAAATAAAATATATTTAAAAAAAATATCTTCAATCGAACAACCGTTATTTCATCTCTTATTACTTTTTTAATATCCTTTAAATGTTTAAAGTAAAATGAAATTTTGTTTTTCTTTGGATTCAAAGAATGATTAAACTCTATACAAAAAGTATTTTCTAAATTTTTATATAACGCAAGTGCTTCGTTATGTTTCTGAAATTTTCTTTATTGGACTTTGTTATTTAAAATATTTTAAAAAATGATAACATTAATGCATTAATGAGTGATAAAAATCAAGAATCTTCAACATTTTTTATAATTTTGGATTAGTAAATCAAATAAACATAATTAGAATTAGTTGAAGTTAATTTAAAAACAGGTGTTACGAAGAGTTAGCTTTGTTTTTAGACTGTGTATAACGGTTATTTGTTTTTATATCTTAAAATTTAAAAAAAATTCTATTCTATTCCGCAAGAACATTTTAAATGCACTTTCTTAGAAATTATCTTAAAAAATAAATACATTTTTAATTATTATATTTCAATTGTTTACTACAAAGCCTCCGAGATTATAAATGCCAACCCCCGCTAAGACAATCTATTAAAAGTTATGAAGCAACTAAAACGACAAGATTACATAAGGTCTCTCAGAGGTTGAAAGAGGCCAGGATCCAGAAACGGACTTATGTCCAATTCTCGAATCTGATAGTGTCTCATAAATCTATTTGTAAATTTACTTATAAATAAATAAATAAATAAAATTTTACTAATTGCCAATAGAGAAGTTTATTATTATTAACTTTTTGGGAGGCCCAGTCTCAAGTCGCAAGTTTTGCTTAGTGGCCGAATTTTTCTCAATCTGGCACTGTCTGATTCATTTATTTTTTGAAGCCCATAATATATATATATATATATATATATATTTAAATAATAAAATTTAACTTGTTAACGCTGTTTTGTTATTTTAAAAAATCAGTAACGATTTGCGTAACTTTCCCGGCTATTGTGAGATTAACAATATAAAAGCTATTTTTAAAATACAATCACAATAAATAAAATTCTGTGTGAAGCCACCTGTTATTAGATTTTATTTTAAAAACTTTTTATAATTATTAATTATTTTAAGATGGCAATAAGCTTAATTTTGAGGATAGTAGTGTGTTCTATAAAAAAAATTGTAAATGCTAATAAGAAGTAAAATCGTCGTTAAGTCTGACCCTATTGAAGATAAACACAACCACCTTTATCCTCCCATGATTTTTAATCATCCAAATTTAATAGTATCAATCTCTCTAACAAACAAATCTCCCAACAGAATTTCAGAAATTTTCGACCAAAAAACATAGGAGTTATTAAGCTTCAAAGAGAGTGAACAAAATCCTGTCTCTCCACCCACACATCCATTCATACAAATAATCTTTGGATTTTGTTTTTTTGCATCTTTCAACGTTTCAAGGCGTCCTGGACCCAAAACTGTAAAAGTCTGGAGGGATCATTTTTTGACAGATCGCCATACTTTCCCCATGTTATATAAAACAGCAGCAGGAAAAGTATAAATGACAATTGTTTGGAGGTATTTTGTACGCATTTCAAAAAGAAATGTTTCCAATAAAAATTATCGCTGTTTAGAGGAGTCGATTGTTGGGAGGTGACCGTTATTGGAGGTTCGCTTATAATGCAAAAAATAAATAAAGGTGTTTTAATTTCCTATCGTACATAAAATGTAAAAAGAATAATTGTAACAAGTATTTTCAAAAATCCTATATATATATATAAGGCTCATGTCAAATGTCCTCGCTGAATTTTCTGTGAATAGGGTCCATTTTTATACATTTATTTAAAGAGGAGAGAATATATTTAATATATGCTAGTTCTAAACAGGAAATAATAAAATCTGGACCACAATGTAGCTTTAAAAAACGCATTTTACTGATGATTTGCACTTATCTAGAATCGGTATGTTTTGCTATAGTTGAATATTAAAAAACTTTCATAAAGTAATCGCGCACGACGTAAAATCGTATTAGGAAATTCTATTAAGGTCAACGATTCGTCTTATGAAGAATAATCAGCTTTTCTTTGATGCAAAAAAAAAACATCTCTACGGGATGAACAAAAATAGAAAAAAAAATTGTTATCTAAGAAACATCTAACAATTTTTAAATCGATTTTTCTTTTTTATAATGATCAAGATGAAATTAATTGAATTTATGTAGGCAAAGTTACAAAATTATTCAGTTGAGTTTAATTTTTAGGAAAATCTTATTTATTTATTTAAAGTCTTTTGTCTTGATTAACGGAAGAAAAGTCATTTATATAAACAAACTTCCGCATTGTCGTACGACTATTCCCGATACGTTAGCATTAAATTTAAATCCTCAATCGCGATTTAACGTTAGAAATTAGCACTCGACATCAATAAAACCGAGATTTATCAATAATCTCTCCGTTTTTGTAATACGAAAAGATTAAATTCTTATTTTTTATGCGAGAAAAAATATTCTAAATTTTCAAATCTATAATTGCTTCTTCGCTAAACCATTTATTGATTATTATACCCGCTTCCTCTTTAACTTATGAATCTAATAATGTAAAAATAAAAAAAGACGGATACGATATATAAAATAACAAAAGTACATTTTTAAATTACTTTTTTAAATTTAATATTTTATTATAATAATTACCTAAATCTAAAATAAAATTATATCCAGGTGGAGCGATTACGTCCAAGTTAACGCTCTTCTTCCTTATGCAGTTATTAATTCGGACGCAGTATTGTTATTTTATTTAAAAATAATAATATTGAATAGCTTTTTAATTATTATTATATAAATAAAGTTTTAAAAATTTATTTATATAATAATTTCAATTATTATAATTACATAATTTCTTTAATATTCAGGTGGCGTAACTAACTACGTTGTTGTTTAAAAAAAATCCGCCATTTTAATTTATAAAGGTCAGTATAATTATAATAACATAAAACTTATTAAAGTAGAAATTAAGTATATTTTGATACCCTATAAATAAGGTGGAAAAAAAGAGGAAAATGTAAATTTATTGAAAAAGTTTTAAAAAGATTATATCTCAAGAAAGATCAAAATTTAATTATGAATTTTATATGATGGAAGAAAATACTAATTATCGTCGACATTAAATCATTTTAATGGCGCGAACACAGTTAAAAAATTACACAAAAATATACAAATTTGTTAAATTATACAAAATATATATGACACAAAACAGTTTTTTTTTTATATTATACAACAACAAGATTTTTTTCAGTGTAGCACAATGTACTTAAGAGGTAGAGGAACTTCCATTCTTTCTCCCATCAAGTCTTCATTAATAAACATACAAAATTTTCTTTTATTTTATAAAAAGCCATTTCATTAAAGAATATAATTTAGAAATAAAAAAAAAAGTCTTTAAAATTTAAATGATTTTTTTATCTGTCAATTTACTAAGTCTAGCAAGTTTAGAGTAAACAAGAGATTTTATGCATGCATTCTGAATAATCAATGAATGAATGTTAAACGTGATCTTTATCCTGAAATTCGTTTATTTTTTAATTGAACTTAATCTAAAACGATGACTGGTTTATTCGAATTTATATTTAACTCAATAAACCAATTAATTGGAAGATGAAAAGCACTTAACATCTATTCACACCTCTTTGCTAAGAGTATTCAAGTCGCCTTTTAATAAGGTTAATTTTCAGCACTTGTGAGTGAAGAGGAATAATTGTTTTTAGTATCGAAGGTAGATTTTAGATTTAATTAGGTCACTGCAAAAAAACTGAAAACATTTTTTATGTCATATTTTATAAAAGAAATTCTTACAATTTTTTACTTTCCTAAATATACGTATTAATACAATACTTTCATTTCCAGAGGAAAAAATTGATTAATTTATTAAAAGTTTACTTTCACATATTAAATAAATTATATTTGATTTAAACTTTCCTGTAGTCATTTATATTATATATTATCCGTTTAAAATTGAAAAATGTCCACTGGACTTATTAAACTAGTATTTAATGTATGTAATTTTTAAAATTGGCTTAAGTTTTCAACCAAATTTTAAATTTCAATTTGGTTAAAATAACTTTCTATTAATTTACAGTAGTCGCGTTGAATTTGTCATAAGTCATTTTGAAGATATTCTAAATCTTTCTTGTGGAGATAATTTTTACTTAAAAGTAGTTAATCGATAACTCCTTTATTAAATATTGAACGAGAATCCTTCAAGTGATGATATTTTATTTTCCCATCGCGTTGAGTAGAGAAATGTAATTATATTACGATGAAGTCCAAGCTAACGAACCAATTAAATATACTATGAAGAATAAATAAAATCATTATTTGGTTAAGTTCAGTTTTATATTTATTCTAAGTTTAAATTAATCTCAAAATTTCATTTTTTTAAAAAAAAGGAAGATATTTACTTAGCTATTATAATTTGATAATTTTTCATTTTTGATATGAAAGTAATGTAGAATTTTATTCAATTATTTGTAAAATTGTTTCAGAATAATTCGTTTTCTAAAATGAAATTTGACTATTTTAAACTATAGACTTATATTCTTGCTATTATTTGAAAACTGTGCCACAGTTTGTTTATTTTGAACATAAACAAATAGATTTCTGATAAATATTAATATATAAAATTAAAATAATGTAAATTTATTGAAAAAGTTTTAAAAAGATTATATCTCAAGAAAGATCAAAATTTAATTATGAATTTTATATGATGGAAGAAAATACTAATTATGGAAAAGTTTTCTATATTTTACAACTAGTACTAAAAATAACTTCAATGAAAAATTCTAATAAATGGATAAATATCGCGTAACATTATTTATTACTTTTTTCTTAAAGCTTTATAAAGAAGAAAGATGAAGGAAAAAAATTTTATATATAATATATATATTTTTTTATCCAAACGAAACCATCAATCCTTATACAATTCAATCGAATTTTGGAGTGATATTATTATCCTTTCAGGTTGAATATTTCTTTCATTTTTTGATCTGAAACCGATTTTAAAAATGGAAAATTAAATTTCAAAACAAAAAAATCGGCTCTAAATGTTTTCTTTTCGGTAAAAACGTGTTTATATATGTTAAAAATTGAATTTATCTTTTTTGGAAAGAATGACAATCAGATAACATCTACATCTATATACCATTTTAGTAGTTTAAAATTTATCTACATTCAAAAATCGTTAATTTGAAACTTTTTCGGATAAGTACTTAACAGCTTTCATATTTTAACTAGATTACTAACCAAATCGAATTTTACTGATGCTATTACCAAATTAAGCTTTCATGATACGAATAATGTTTAATACAAAATGATAAACCTTTTAAGTCTAGTAGGAAGCTGTGAAATCACTAATACAGAACAGGAACATATTCGATCGGTTTTGACCTTTAAAGACAACTAAAAAAAGGATAGTTTCAGCCGGCAACACAATCTGATAAAAGCAGTAACTTATATGATTTAATCCGTTAAAATATTCTGATGGGTTTAAAATGAACAAAAGGTGGCAAGAAATTGGATAGTAGCGCGAAATATTTCTGAAGAATTGAATAACTCGCTTGTCAGAATGATAGAATTGTTAGGAAGAAGTCCTCGATAATGTTTTACAAAATTTAAAATATAATAACTTAAAATGCCTTGCGCTTACAAACATAGAATGTTTTGCATATAAAGACGTAGAATCTAAAGTTTTTTCTTTCGATCGATATGAATTTAATTTAATTTCAGAATGGATAAAGAATAAAATCTTTAACGACGCTAGTCAATGTCTCGAAGAATGTAAATTTTTAAGAAAAAAGAAAGAAACATGATTATTGAAATTTTTACTTACCAGAAACGACCTGTGAATTGTGCCCTTTTAAATGCAAAAAATTTACTAATGCATATTATGCTTATTCTAAATGTATTAACATTTCAGTATTGAATTAATGATGAAAAAGTAAATACTAATTACAGTAGAGCATCGATTATCCGACCCCCGATTAACCGTCACATCGGTTAAGCGACCGTTCTAGTCGGCAAATTTTAAATGTCCGCTAGTGATGTGGCATTACAATATTTGGCTATGTCTTGGCTACTTTAATATTATTTTTGTTAAATTTTTGCGTGTTTTAGCCGGCATCAACGGCTCGACCATTGAAGGGAGAGCAGTATTTAAACGAGACTTAATTTTCTAATTATGAGTGGTTGTTTGTTTCGTGAGCAATAAAACAATTTAAAAATAATTTTTAACGATACAATAACGACGATTATTATTTTAAAAAAAATTTGTTAGGCTCAATGAAAATCAATGAAAATTCAACGCAAAGTTGGTTAATAGCGATATACTAATAAACTAATTACATGGGATATACTAATATCCTAATATACTCTACTAATAATGTATCTTTTCCCTTCTTTTCGGTTATCCTTTTTCAGTTATCCGACCAACCTGAGTCCCCAATTGAGTCGGATAATCGATGCTCTACTGTAGTAATATTTACATAAATGACAGTATTCACTGTCCTGTATTCCTCCATCAAATGCCTATGGTTTCCTTTAATATATGTTTATGGTATTATATTTCCGAATTTACTTAAAGTTTATATTAAGTAAAAGCAATTTATCGTGTTTAAATTAATGAGGATACAAATTGAACATATACAGAGATTCTCGTGTGAATAAAAATTAAATTTAGAATGTTAAAATTTCTCAAGAAATGTCATTTGATCTTACACAGAAATTTTTAGTGAAAAGGAATATCAAATAAATAAAATTTATTAGCGAAACAAAATATTAGTCTCATAAAAATTTAAAATGTTTTATAAAAAAGAAATAAAATAATCTTATAAATTGATAGCATTTTTATACTCCCGGTTAAAAATTGAAACAAACTTTATATTGGCCTCACTTCAGCTTTTTCTTAAAAAAAGAAAGTCTAATATGTGTAAGAGAACAAATGGTAAATCTCCCATAAAAAAGAATTTCTTTTATTTAATTCTTCTTTCTATATATCGTGATAGATTTCTGATATAAATACTTTCTTGCGAAGACAAATGCGAGTAGTCATACATCGAGTATGAGTTGCACTCGAAGGTTAGATTACAATTCATTATTTTATTAATATCAGTTTTATTTGTCGCTAACAGATGGCGTTAAGATATAAAAATAATTGTTAAAATATTTTTAATTATGTCTTATAAGTTATTCATGATATGAACCTAGGTTGTGACCGAATAAATGTATGAAATGTTTATAGCGTAATAAAGTTAAAATCAGATGTTAAATATTATAGAAATTCGCTTTGATAAATAATTGAATATTTAAAATGTTTAATTTACACATTTTTAATAATTAAAAGAAAGTTTGAATCTATTCCACTTAATTATATATTTCTGGATGGATTAACACGTGCTGAATATATGATTTTCATTCGGTTGTAGTACATTATCAATTTGAAATATTTACATCTTACTTTTAATTTATTTACAACGTTTCTTCTCATTTTTCCTTACTCTTCTGGATGTTTTGCGATTAAAATTCAGATCATCATTATACTAATTTTTAATCGTATAAACAAACATGTACAAAATTTATGTTTATTTGTTTATAATACGAAATTAATAAATCGTAATTCAAGAAGCTTAAAATATTATTGATCATTTTTGTTTAAGTCAATGAACTTTATACCTGCTTGACTTGGATATCGATGTATCATCCGAAAATATCATTGAATTCCGTAGATAAGATCGGAGGGAAAAAATATAGTATGATGGAAGAGCGTTATTTTGTTGGTATCTACTGTACAAATCTCTCTAAGTATAAATGTAAATAATATGTTTGTATACATTCTATCTGTGTATGTGTATATAAATATATGTGTGTGTTTACGTAGCAATGTAGTAAATATAGCAATATATTTTGTTAAAATATATATAAGGTCTACCCTCCAAAATATCATTTCGATTTGAATAAATGATTTCTATTAAATTCTAAAATGTTTTCTGCGGAAAAACGTTTATGAAATTATATATATATATATATATATAAGTTAAATAAACTGGATAATAATATATAACGAAAACTGTAATATTGTTTTCAATAAGAAAAAGAAAATAAATAAAAATTGCAGCATCACTTCATACACTTTATATATGTAAAAAAAAACTTTATCTATAATTTTATTATGTAAATTCTGTAATAATAGAAGAGATAACTTGGATATTGTCCATATTTAGCAGCATTCTGGAGGAAAGCAGTAAATCTTTAAAATAAAAATCAAATTGATGTACTGTACTTTTCAGAAAGCTGCAAAAAACATGTATTTTAATCCTCTATTTTAATTACAATTCATATATTTAGAAAATAATTTTTGTTAATTTATTGGAATTTACACTATATATTTATTGAAATTTATATATATACTGAATATAGATCACTAAATTTTCTTTGAATATATAATATATATATATATATATTCAAAGAAAATTTAGTAATTAAGTTGAATATATATATTCAACTTAATTACTAAATTTTCTTTGAATATATATATATATATATTATATATTCAAAGAAAATTTAGTGATTAAGTTGTATCGTTTACTGAAAATATTCGTAAGAAACATACTTTAAAACAGTGTTTGAGAATAGTTAAACATTTATTTAGCTAATCATAATTTTACGTGATCGATATTAAGTTTTGTAAAATAATTTATATAAGGAAATAAATTCTGCTTCTAAAACGACTTTCCTTAACAATATTTTTTTCCTTATTTATTTTTCGAATCGGTAATTATTTACAAGCTACGAAAATTTAAATCAGTAAATCTCATGCACGAATCGAGTTTCTCATTTCTGACGTTTCATTCGAAGCCATGACGTCTGCCGTGACGCATTACCATTCTGGACGTCATTCTGACGTCATGCGGATGAGAGCAGAAAATCCAGCAATTTGAAACGAAGAAAGTAAATCGTTAATCCCGGTAATTACTAGATAGAACCATTAAGAAAGTAATGTAATTATTTTGAGTGCGCAAGGGAAACATAACATTTATTCATTACACTAAAATCGATATCATACCTGGAATTTTCTTCATGCAGAAAAATATGGATTTTTTTTTCTGCATAAGTTGCTTATTAAACAATACTGTGAGGAGAAAAAAGATTGATAATCGAAGCTCTTTTAGATAAATATAGATGCTAACTTCATTTGAAATTGATGTCAGATTCGTAAATTAACTTCCTTATTATGTTTACATAAGTGTAGTTCCTTCGAGTTCTATTGAATTCTATAATTTAATATTTGCTCCTCCTGTTCCTCTCGTGTTTCTAGTCTTCAAATCATTCAAATTAGCAAATATATCTTTCCATGTATGTAATTTTCTTTTCTCATTTTTGTGCTTCTGAATGTTTATCGTCATTGAATAAATATTAAGACGGAAATTAAGCAAAACGGGTAATTTATCATCTTTATCCTTTTTATCACTTCGATATTATGCTTTGTTTATTATCTTTCACCGTTCGAAAGTAAAAATGAATCAAAAATCCATTTATACTTTTAGCATCATTACTAAAAGTTCTGAAATAGTTTTGCAAAAATGGTTTTTCTTACGTGCTTCCCTATATTGTTAGTACATGAAAGGATAAATGCTGATGATATTTTTTTTTCTTATCTTTCCTTTCATTCTGGAGTTAATTATTATCAGAGCTAATTATTCGCATCATCATATCAAACTCGACCGAATGGAATTCTCATTACCATAAAAATACGACAAAGATTCATACTCTATTATCGAAGAGATAAGGTCAATATAAATTTTCTTTTGTTTATTTTCCAGAGATAAAAATGAGTTCTGATACTGATTGTGAACAACAGGAAACAGTATCGAGGAAGAAAAAATTCAAACGGCGCCGAAAATGTCGTAAAGTATGCTTATATCTTTGCTACTCTCTATTTTAATTAAATTAAAATTTGTCAGTATAAAACGCTCCCGTTTTTTTCCGCTGTTTTAATTTAATTTTTAGGAAAATTGCATTCCGGAGTGCAGAAAAAACGATTCGACAGTAAGTTTTAAACTAGGGAAATTTTCTTAAAAGTAAATTTATTAATTAGTTAGCAAGTTGCTTATTTATAATTTACTCTTGCAGAATTCTGTACCCGTTAGAGGCACGCGTCGCTGTTACTCGGATTTCATCACTCAGCAACGTCTAACTGTAAGTCTGCATTAAAAAATATAAGGGTGTATATGTACTGTACAGGAAAAAAGCTGTTTTATTTTTTCTGTCGAGATCTTACATAAATAAACGAACAGTTCACGGATTTAATGTTTTTATTTTCTGTAGCGACGTCTTGGCATTTATTGCAGAGGAAAGAAATCAAACACGGTAACTCGCAGTTGTAAGTCCTGAATTCCTTTTTTTTCATCTTATTAACTTAATTAATATTTCAAGGCATTTTACAAGATTGATTTGTATAAAAATAGAAACATCTCGAAAATTTCTTACATATGGTAACAAATATGAATTATGTATTAGTTTTTCTTGATATAATTCGAATGTTTTATATAACAGATTAAAGTTCCATCTCTGCTAACTCAATATATATATACACACCTGTATGTTTTTGTCCTGTTAAATAATTCAGTGTTATGCTAATATTTTTATTTGATTTTCGTGTTTTATTTTTATTTTTTCTTACAGGCGAATTTGAAATGTCAGACGAAACTAGAGCTAGAACACAACAAGATCTGAATAGAATATTGGATTTTTGGGCGGAGAAAACTCTTAATTCTGCTAAAGTTAATAATTCAAAAAATGATTTATCGAATAGGTTGTACTCTGAAAAGAATTCTGATGAAAAATTACATGAATCTGATTCAACCCCAAATAGGTATCTTAGTTAATTATAAAGAATAAATATATTTTGTTATCAACAGTGAATGATATGAATTTTAAAGAAATATATATAGAAAGAATTACGCCTCTCTTCCACTTTCTCCATAAAATACATGTGATGGATGTATGTATGATATAGGATTTCTTTCAAAATGAAATACGACCCCTCTCCAGTTATTTTTAAAAAACAATCTATTTTCTCTTTCACATGACAAGATTTTTACAAGAAAATTCTTTTTATGCCATTTATTATATCTTTTTATTAATTAACAGTATTTATAGAACACGAATGGCTTTAAGCGTATGCTACATTTCGTGTGTTTACTCTTAAAATGCAGTACTTTGAAGTTTTCTAAATGATCTGAATGGAGTTTAATATCTAAAGAGATTTTCAAGGATGTCAACTTGTCTCGAGTGTGTTGACCTTTCATATTCCTTGATTTCGTTTATATTGTATTGCGGCTATATAAAAGAGAGATTCCACTTATGGTTAGAGTCCTTTTATCTGGATTAAATAAAAGAAAGATTGCCGTGCAGTTAATCCGATTCAGATTATTTTTATTTCCGGAATGTCTGATCATTTCTGTGAAGTTATTTATAGCAGAACTTTTCTTTATTGATTTAATCTTTATTTATTTAAAATCTACTGATGACGACGATTATTTTTTAAATTTAGCTTTCAACATGAAATCTCATCAACTCCCTTAAATACACAAAGGAAATCTCCATGTTCTACGTTAATTCCTAGTACTACTCTGGTAAGATTGCCTCATTTTTTGTTCTAGTTGATTTAAATTCAAGCTGCTTTTCATTTTTAGCCGATAAAATAACACCAATTCTCTTAGAACTGGATTAAATTCAAGCTTTTTTGAATCCTTTTAAAAATACATAATCAAATTTATACAGTGCATTTTCTCTATTATTTTTAAATAAATTATAGGTTTATATTTTTATAGCTGTTTGAAAAATAATTTCAGTAAAACTTTTGAAGTTGTTACAGTTTCAATTAATAAATTAATTTAAATGATATTAATTTACTTTCAGAATGCACCACTTAAAGAAATTTTAGGAAGATTTCAAAAAGTTATGTCGTCAAAATGCGATCAATATTTCTTAAGAGAGAGTATGCCTCCAATTTTTAAGATATATATATATATTAGTAATATGTATAATGTTATATACATATGCTAATAGTTGTTTTTCAAGATTATACGTTAACAGTTTTATTTTTTTTAAAAAAACTTTTTCTCAACAGGTATTCAGGAAAACATCAGAAAGAAATTAATGAATATGTACTGTACGAAGTAAATATTGGAATTGTAATTAATAAAGTTTAACTAAAATTTGTACGTAATCAATTGAATTTAAAACGTGTTCAATTTTTTTTTGTTTTTTGTTCTTTTTTACAGCAAAACCCAGGATAATTCTAGTCAAACAAGTTCACCAAATACGGATTACTCCCAAGGTAATTATTAAATAACTTGTAATTTTTCATCCATTGTATAGTCTTTAACTCATTACAAGTGACATTAAATGAAAAGAAGGAAATGAAGATAGCACAGAATGTAATTATTTTCTGATATAATCGAATTTTTAGAAATTCCTTATCTGTTTTCAGCTAAATATCGGATTACAGAAAACTCATTACTTTCTGCCGGATCTGAAAAATTATTGTTAAAGTCAAATAGTGTTGATGTTAATATCAGTTATCGCGAAGATAACTGTTGCAAAACAGATAATGAATTAATTCTCGGGACATGTGAAATGAATTCACAACTCCAATCGGAATGTCTGAATGTAAGTTAATGAACTTTAATAAAATTATTTGAAGTCAAAATTGAATAATAATAATAATATGTAACTATTAAATTTGGCAATTATTTTCAGGCTTTCGGTAGTTTGAATAGTGATAAATCCGATTTAGCTGTAAGTACGATTTTAATATAAGCTGCATTTTCTTCTAAACACAGTTATTATTGTTTTAACGATGGCAAAATCTTTCAAGCATTAATAAGATTATTATTATTGGATTTGTAGTGGTAAATAAAATATAATTTTTTTATTATTAATTTAGAAAAACAATCAAAAGTTTCTGTACTATATCTTAGTCAATAATAATTATAAACTTTCAACTGGAGAATATGATGTTTAAGCAAATAAATAATACAACTTACCATCGATTTATTTTACATAATAAAATTGCTCGTATTTGTACAATGTATCTTGAATAAATTCTAAACATAAAGTAGAATATTTTCCCACTCATATCTAGAATATTCAAGGTATTTTTTTCTTGAAGTATTTTATACTTAGACATTTCTCTTCTAAATGTACTGTATACATTATAGGTGAAAGTCCCCTTTAAGTTATGTTAAATAATTTAAATTTTATACTGTGAAATAGATAGATACTGCTAAATTTTCACTTTCAAATACAAATTTCCAATAGTATGATCAGCTATTGATTTTTTATACTAGTTTATATAACAGCGAGTTTCTATTGGATGATAATAAGTAAAATAATGATGAATAGTAATCAATGTTTTATATACTAAGGAAATGAAGTTAGAATGCAGAATTCAGTGGAAATTTCCTGTCAACTGACCTCCTACAGTCTGACCCTGACCATATATCATATCTTATAGCGCTGAGTTTCCTGTTACATTTCTCCAATATGGTAATGTTCTAACAAATGATAAATGAATGAGAACAATGACCTTCTATTTAATTGTTCAAAACTATCGTTTTAATATAGAAATTTCAAATAATTTTGTTTAAAATGATTATGAGTAACATTGTATTCTCCATATTGAAATAATTATGGGAAGAAAGCTAACCTCCTTTAAATTAATGCTGAAGCAAATCAAATATATTTGTTTTTCTTCCAAAAAAATGGGGGAAAAACAGTGATAAATACTGATTTTTAAAGAATTGGACATTTTTATTTACTTATTTTATCGATTGTTAGTCTCGCCTGGATTGGTTGGATGCATTAGAAAAGAGTTATTCCTCACCTGCAGCATCTCCAGAAGCAATTAAATTTTCTGAAGCAGCTAATTTTACCGATCTTTCTTCGGGATCTCCAATATGGCAAAATTTGCAATTACCTTCACCACTTCATCCGCCATCTTCAACTCCAACACCTCCTTGGAAATATCCACGACAGAAAATGTTTTAATTAGAAATTTTTACTCTTTATATCGATTGATACTGCGGTGAGTTCCCGAACGAAACAAAATACAATTTTTTTCGTTAATTTACTTGAATTTTACCTGTGTTCATGTTTTGAAAAAACATTATTTTGGTACAATTTGCATAGATTTAGTATAATTAAAAATTTATATAGATATTTATTTCTGGAAATTACTACAAACTATGGAAATAAAATGTTTTATTTGCACATATAATGACTAAAGTATTTTATTAAATTTGATAAAAATAAAATATATCTGTTAACTGTAATCTGTGATTTATTGTGATCTGTCCTCAACGTGCAAGCAGTAACATAAGTTATATATGCTCTATTAGTTTATAATTTTAGAGCTGGTGCATCATGCTCTTTTAGTTTGCAGCTGGTTTATAGAATCTTATTACAGTTTCTGCAATGAAATTTGCTCTTAGTGACAAAAGAAAATTCTGCATAATAAAAGAACTCTACTAATTTTCATCTTATCATAAAAATTTTTAAATTTGCAATTTAGCCAAATATTTTAACTTTATGCCACAATTATATTTCATAGATTGAAATGAAAAAAATTATATTTGACATTATTATTGTTAATTTCCACTTAAAATAATCTAATAATTATTAGTGTAGTTATATGACATAAATCAGTATATTATATATTTAAATATTCTTAATAATAAATTAATTCTAAAAGTAAAATTGCCTTAATCAAATTTAGTTTGTATTCTCCATATTAATTTTAATTTTTAAGAAGTTATAAATAATTAATGTTTATAAATATTTAATGATTAATTAATAAAACGAAATAGTTCCTATACATGTACTGTACATAAAAAAGATGATTGCATCAGTATCACTGTCAGTTATTATTGAACAGTTGTATTTGTGTTGAATTAAGTCAACACTATTCCATACAGAGATAATATAATTCTAGAAAGGAAAATTTTAATATTATATGAAGCTGTAAAATATATTTACAAATGAAATTAAACATAATCCAAAATTAAACTTGAATTGTTAAGTGAAATTAATGCTTAAATCATGTTTAAATATTCTTTAAATTAAAAGTTACATAATTTTAATTGTAACATTACAAATGTAGACAAAACTGAAACATAAAATAAAACTCATTTAATAACTCCCGTATTTTATGTTTTTTTACGTCTGTTTTCATTTTTTAATCGCTAATTAATATAGAGACGAAAACACGTTTTTATTCGTAATAAGTTACATAAACTATCCTGATGTTAATTAAGAAGGAAAATATTTAATTCATTCAAATTAATTCAAACTTCTTAATTATAAACCTTAAATGATGATGATTAAAATAATAAACGTGAAAGACCTTGTTTTGTGATAAATAAGTTTAGTCCTGTAAGGAAATCATTGGGATGTAAGAAGAAGGATATCGATAATTGGATTTCCTGACTAACCGGACAATATGTTGACACGAAAGTTGCTAAGAAAGAAATGATACGTCGCGTTTAGTTAGCATTTCTAACATGAAAGTGCTTAATTTCTGTACAGACTGGGTTGTAGTTTGCATACAGATAATCTAATACTTAAATATCGGTTTTATATTATTTTTATTGTCTATTTTAAATTATTTACACATTTATAAAACTACAGTTTTTATAATTTTATCCTTTCTGCAATTTTACATTCATAACTTTCTCCATTTCTGGCTGTTTTCAATGCCTTTAGTTGCTCTCTTTTCTGCCTCTGAAAAGAATAATCGTTCTCTTCAAACAGATAACATAAATATAGGTCGTGTTTCTTTTCTGGGTCGCTGTAGCAAGAAAAATGTTCGAAAATTGTGGCTTATAGTTTCATATATTGAGTTTTTAAGATAAAGCTATTAAAGATAAAGTTTTCAAGAACAAAATATAATATAGTATTTACAAACTATACTTTTTGAATTTTAAAAATTAAACATTTGAGAGTAATGTTAGATTTACACAAAATAAATATTCTGTTGGAGTATTCATCAAGATCATATGCAAAAGATAGCGTATAAAAAATATTTTTTAGTGCTGAATAAGCTTTTTTTTGTCAAGTTTTGTTTTAGCTATCACGCAATTACTATGTTCTTAGCCAAAAATAGAGTAATTGTGTAGAATGTAGTAATGGCAGTAGACTTGGAAAGTTTTGACAGTAATGTTATCTACTGCGAAGTTCAGAAACAAATTCTTCGTCAGATTCCGAGAAGATAGTTGGATTACGAAGGGATTATGAAGTAGTAAAAAAAACGAATGTAGTGCGCTCTCGAAGATAACCTGATTTAAAAGAGAATAGAAGGAACTTGTCTTATATTAAAGCAGTGATGATAGGTGAGATAAAATTTGGATTAAGTATGAAATATGTAGATAGAGTTTTCGACTTGATTAGATTGAAATAAATGACTACTTTTTATTCTGAATAAATGCAAAACTTAGCTCGTTTTTTAACTAAATTATGTTTATATTATGACAGATTTTGAAGATTGGGAGATTTTCAAAAAAGAATGAAGTTTATTTTAAAAAAAATCATTTATAAATATAGACAGAAAACTACATTTACTAATTTGTAAGCGGTAAGAATAGTTTTGTTTTTAAATATTTCAGCTTAGTGTAAATATTCTATTTTTATCCTTACTCAACAGAAAATTAATTTTAAAAAGTATAATTTAAATGCAAAATTTAAGAATATTTTTTACTAAAATATTAAAAATATATTTCCTTTTTGTTATAATATAAAAAATACAGCTTTATTAAAATAACGAAAATTCACTCAATATAAAGGCAACACAATTTCCTTCTTCGTCCATTAGTTGCATAATTAAATTTATTTCACTAACTTTAACAACATAACCGGAGATTTTATTTGTATTGTAGTTTATTCACCACATTGTTGTTACAATTTTTTTGATGATAATTTATATTATAAACCCTGGAGATAGTCTTGTCAGACTACTTGTCCAGTTAGCAGACAGTTGAAAAATAAGCATTATTATTTGGAAAAAAGTTAGAAATATTTATAAAGAACAGACAAAATAAATGTCTACACAATTTCCCTGTCTACAAAAATGTTTGTTCGTAAACAAATTCAAATACTAAAACATAATATCTATTCTACATAATATTAGGGTTTATTAAAGTTAAAAGTAAGTTTTGACTAATTTTATCGATTTTTGATACCCTTCAAAATATATCTTTTGTAGTTGGGAAGTCTATTGCTGTTGATATAAAAGATACGCGTTCGATATATTGTAAGTGTATAACATTCTCTAATATTTTTATACGCTACATTAATCTGTAATAGTTTTTTTTTTATTTTTTAAATCGAGTAAATACTTTCAAACATATAAATCAATACCATAAGCCGACAGAATACTAAATTGCTTCATTAATCGCCTTTTTAAATTCTTATCAGATCTATAAAACGCTCTTGGAGAGATTATTCATGTTGTTCTCAGAAAATACTTATTCAGGCATAAGTCACAGTCTCGTGTTTTCAGTAAAACCGGATACTTTCTTTGTCATTGTATAGATTTGTAAAGCGGAAACTCGACCCATATAAAGATATTTGTTACTAGATCTTGTAAGCTATTAACTTTATATAACATGTAAATAAAAAAAAATCAAAATTATCTTCTTTTTGTTTCTATTTCATTTACGATAATGGTACTGACTACATTTAGAAAAAGTAAATTTATATTAAATTTCAAATTATCTTGAGGTCAAATCAAATCAGACTAGGGAATAACTTTGCAAGAATATTTTATTATAAATGTATTTTATATTGAAATTTTCCCATTTTATAATCCTAACTTCATATCTAGGAAAAACCACAGTTTTTACAAAGAAAGTAACAAATAATTGCTGTTAAGTCTTTCCTTTTCCTTTGCATTATCAGATTTCCTGTTGAGAGAATATCGAAGAAAAATATTTTGTCTCCAAACCGATTTGTTCTATCTTATTCGAAGAACATGAATTGTGGAATAGTTACGTATTCAATTATTCTAATAGGGATATTACTTTTCTTTACTTACGTGGAATCAATTAGTAAGTAGCATAATTACATATCAATTTATATTTTTGTTTATAAAAGATTTTTTATTTAATTGAATACTAAAAATATTGAATTTCAATTTTTAATTTATTTTATTTTTTATGTTTTTCTTAACTAAATCAAGCGACTACTTTCTCTTTGTATTAATTTATCTCATTAGAATTTTTATTATTCAGAAAAATACTGTTTATACCAATAACCGTTACACATTAAGCGTATTATACACATCTGGATCGCATTTAACGAAACATTCAGAAATGAAAGGGGAAAAAATTAATAATAATAATTTAATAAAGAGAAAGAGAGAAAGCGAAAGGAGGAAAAAAATACATATATATTCAGTTACTGAAATTTCCAAATGGATAAATTTAGTGTAATTTCTCTTATGTCTTTGTTTAAAGTATTAATACACTCCATTGCCATTCTCAATGTAAATTTTGGATATTAACTTTATCTTTTGTCATGTCTAGAATGAATGGAATTTATGACTGAAGTTTAAATGCAAGAGAAACAATGCAAGCATATATTGAGATACTATTCACTCAGGTGTTGAGGAATCTTGAGAATTTCGAAAGAAAAACAAATCTAAATTTTTGAAAAAAATAGATATAAATAAATTTGAAACATTCGCTTTCAGTATTGTAAGAATGAAAATGACAAAAATGCTTAAAAATAAATAAAATTTTAAATTATTATTAATTTAATTAAATCCACATTTATAGTTAAATATATAAATCATTATAAGTTTTATTATTTAAAAAAATAATTCAAATTAAAAATTTTTCAATTTTTCAGCTATTTATTAATGTTTTATATTCGTATAAAAATGCAGAAATTTAAATATACGTTATTTAAAAAAAAGTCAAAGTAGCGTTTTATAAATATTAAATAAAATTTTATATTCTTTAATAATTTAAAGGAATGAGGAAATCGCGAAATAATCATAATTACTTAAAATTTTATCGACCATAAAGATAAAAATAATGAATAAAATGATTATTTTTGTAGTTTGTTAAAGTTAACAAGACTGTACACGAAATGTACGATGTTTTTAAATAATTTAACTTATTCTTCATGAATTTAATTGAAGAAATAATAACACCGAATTTTAACTTCATAAACCTGATATTAAATAATTAATTTAACGAAATTTGTTTTCATTGTATTTGCATACAAAATATATTAACAGTCAACAAAGTAGAGAGAATTAAATTTTCCTCTTTAATTGCTTCTATACAGAAAGCATTTGTATATATCTGTTTGCTCAGAAAGCGTTTATATTTCTGTTCTCTCAGTACAAAAGATATAATTAATGACGTCTACTTTGATGGGAAATGATTACAAATTGGTTGTAACCAAATACTGGGATCCTAGTTAATTACTTTGAATAAAATTAAGAATTTTTGAATTAGTTGAAACTGAAATTAGAATATTTTTCTTTCTAACTACTAATTACTCAATGACAAAAATGTCAGATATTATTCTAGTAATAAACCAATAAAATATACTGTAAGAATAGTTTTGTTTTTAAATATTTCAGCTTAGTGTAAATNCATTATTAAATAAGTGTAATATTTTGATAGTATCTGCGCTGAATTTACATGTCTTAATTAAATTGTAATGTTTATAATACATAAATATTTGCAGGTGTTGTTGGATCTATTTTTAATACAATAACAATTATATACATTTTATGCTTATTGTAAAATAATATTATTTTCCGAAGAAATATTCTAGTACTTTTTATAAATTCAATGATAAAAATAAATCATAAAAAGATGTATAATACTATTAAAATAAGTTTTCTTATATATATATATTAATATTAAAAAAATCAAACTTCGCAAGCTTGAGAAACAATACAGGATGCTGTATTAAATAAAATAATTCCATTGAATGAAAATGAAACACTGCAATAATTATTCATATTAAATGTTAATTTTTTGTTTTGATTTAGTTAGAACAACAAAATTTAAATACTAACTAATACTTGTGACTAAGCATTTTTAAGATTTTAATAGATAATGATTAAACAACGATAAAGTGAAGGAAATTTGAGTATTTTTCATGTGCCCAATCAATCTTCCTTCATTTATTAATAATTATTATTATACTAAATATTATTATTATTATTGTACTAAATATAAGTAAGGTATAATAGTAATTGAGCAATATAAGCAAAATGTAATAGTAATAAGTAAGTATATAGTAAAAAGTAAGTTATAATAGTGATTATTATTATTACTATTATAGCTTATTTAAATTGCTCAAAATAAAATATATTTTCAAAAAAAAAATTGTATTTTATTTTTCCTAAATCATTACAATTCATCTTGCTTTGATTAATGTTGCATGCAGCAATATTATTCACATTATCCAACTATTTTCTTAAATGGAAATATTTATTTTATAAATTATCTATAATGTTCATTTCCTGTTATGGATCTACATCTAAATTTTTCGCTGCAGTAAACTACACATCTCATATTTTATTGGTTAAGATTTTAAAATAATTGACACTTACCTAGATAGACCCTGTGTTTCTCAATTATGTGGGTTATGATCCCCTTGAGAATGTGAACCATACTTCTGAGCAATAGAAAAATTGTTTTCCGTGAGTAACGGAAACATTAAAATCGCAAGTTAAAACAATAAAATATTTTTTCCTTATAACTGATATATTTTTTTTTGCGTTACGTTTCTAAAATGTTAAGTCAAATTGCGCTGCTTTAAGTTTAGTGGGTTGAATCTTTAAAATATTAAGGACCTAATATTAGAAATTGCTCTTAATATAAAATAATCATATACAAAACCAATGGAATACGATAAATTAAATAAGATATTTTGAAGAAAGTATAAATTACGAATGGAAATAGTCTAATCTTTATTAGATGTAAATTATTTTAGTTCAAAAACAAGAAACAAAAATCATGGAAAATTTAATTTTTTTCATTAAGCATAACTGTACTTTTGGCATAGAAATAAAGTTTTAACGTTACAACATAGCCTTAAACCGTTACGTTTCATACCGTACATTAAATGATACTCTGTTACCGCTTCAATCACGCATATTTAACGTTTATCGTAAAGTAACTTCATTCATCATGTGCAGAAATTCTCCAATTTCACATTTCCCCTCTCAGAAAGCTGAAAGGAAGTCGCTAACGAAAAAGATTGGAAAATACTGATGAATATAATTTTGAGTATTTCGGGATCAATAAATCGAATAACTATTCAGAATTATATTTAGAAAATATTAAATATACAATAATATATAATATTCGCTTAAAAACATATCAAATAATTTTCAAGTATTTTTATTCGTATCAATTGCTCCTATTGTGATTTAAAAGAAAGCATTTAAAAATTTTTTTTCTTTTAATACATCCTTTCATAATCGCACATGAACAGTTTTCCAATGCATCTAACAAAAAGAAAAAACTTGATACTAATGAATGCTTTGGTAATGGAAATCCCACAGTGATAGCATTCTTATGTGATAATCGATGAAATCAAGAGAAGCATAGTTGTTATTATCATAGCATTTACCTTGCGATAATCGCTAAAGAAAAAATTATATTGAGAATTTTGCAACTTGTCAAGCAAGATATTACATATCGATACTCGCTACATTGATTTTCTATATTACAAGTTACGCTGTCCTGTAACGATAATGATATGAAAACAGCATCATATATACCGAAATGACGTATGAAGTCATTTAGGTAAATATGACCTGATTAACTTTGTGTCGGATTATCGATTATTTAATTGATAATATTTTCGTTTATGAATGAATATAGTCAAGAAAAGCAATCTGTCACTATATCGAATAATTTAATAAAAGAACAGATTAAACGCAAGTTAAAGTTCAAGGAAAAAAAAGGCGGTGTGCTATTAAAGTAAACTTTTTTTCTTCACACCCTTCGGAGTATTACAGAGAACATATTGGATTTTCACTAAAGCCGACGTTATTAAAATCAATACCAAACAGCAATAAAGTTGTTAACGATCAGCATGACTTTTGATTGGTCTTTACAGCTATGCTTTTCATTTATAAGCGATACACGATCGACTGCAAAGTACTGCGTGTTTCCAAAATGGCCGAAACTTGTTTATTGTTTTTATTAAGTAGAGCGGGCATTCTTGAATAATTTTGAATGGAAAGTAACCGATAATTGTCAAGATAGAACAGCAAACAAATCGCGAGGAGGATTTGAATGACGTCACGTAACAGCTAATTATATAGTTAATTGATAATTCACTAGGATAACTTTAAGTATTTATATCCGAAACGTAACGAGGTCGTATCCTGCTAACTAAATATCTGACATTGTTACGTGATCCATGATAATAAGATTAGTTTCTCGGTCATTCGCTCGAGAAGTGCCAAAATTATTTTACTCCTCTTTCTTGACATATATCGATAATTAATTTTCGTTAATAGCTAATTAACGACCCGAGTTTAGGCACAGTTCTGTCACTTTATTATTTTCTAGGTTTATAATAATTATTAATAAACCTGTACATATTCTGTTTTTACATACTTTATTTTATATAGACTAATTATATATTTAAAAAAAAACTGAAACGTGTTAAATCAGTTTTTCCTGAAACATAATCTGAAAAATTTATGATAAATTATTTATATAATTAGTTTTCAGATAAATTTTTGGATTTTTTACAAAAGAAAATTATAAAAACAATGATTAATTATATACATAATCTAATATATCTATATTATTGTGATCAAAAAGTATCGGGAATGGCTCATTTAAACTGCGTGTGTATAAGAGGACGCTGTCGTCGTTTGGTACGACTTTCATCGATATCTAGCAGCAATCCGTACGTCATTGTCTGTTTTCGTTTGCAAATAAACGCTTGTTTTGGGTGTAAAAGATTTTTCGCGCCGGCGATTTTTCAAAATGCCGAGTATAATTGAACAAAGAACGTACATTAAATTTTGTTTTCTGAACGGATTTACTGCTACAAAAACGTTGGAAATGTTGCAAAAACCTTTGTTGACGATAGTCTATCAAAAACATGATTTTCGAGTGATACAAGATGTTAAGGAAGGCAGAGAACCCCTTGAATGTTGACCATGTTCTGGTAGACCATCCACATCAACTGAAGAACAACACAGTTCAAGTCAGATTTGGTGCTCAATGGTCGTCGTTTAACAATTAGGAACATTACTGAACATGATCCAGTATCATTTAGATCTTAAGTAATTATAAAAAGATCATCTGGGCTTGCGACGGGTCGGTACTCGAGTCGTCCCGAAAACGTTGAATTTTTTCCAAAAATAACTACGCGTTCGATTGGCCGAGGAAATGTTTTCTCGAGGCGAATCGTCTTTAAAACGCATCATTATGGATGATGAAACATGGATCTACGCTTTTGACACCGAAACAGCTCAACAATCAAGTGAGGCAAGACTAAAATGACCATATCAAAGTCAGTCAAAAATCAAGGTCGTGTTGACTGTTTTCTTCGGTGGTTCTGGTGGTCATCAAGAATTCCTTCCGACTTGCTAAACTGTCAACAAAGAATAGTTTGAGAGTTTTGCGTCGTTTGCGTGAAGCAATTCGTAGTGAACGACCCAATTAGTGGCGGGAAAACTCATGGATTTTGCACCGCGATAATGCACCCGCTCACAATGCTCTGGTTCGTGAATTTTTGGCCAAAAATTCAACAAATGCGGTTTTGCAAGCTCCATATTCACTCGATATGGCACCGTGTGACTTTTCCTGTTTCCTCGGCTAAAATTTCCGCTTCGTGATCACCGCTGAGTCGATTGATTCCATAACAAAATTCTGAAAGGGTTTCATGAAAACGTCTTTAAAGCATCTTTCGAGGATTGGAAAAAAAACATTGGCATAAGTGCATTGCAGTGGAAGAGGATTACTTTGAAGGGGACGAAATAAATTTTGATGAATAAATTCAAATCTTGCGTTTTTTTTTTGAACCATCCCCGATACTTTTTTAAATCACAGAGGTATATTGCTTTAAAATATTTTTTGTTGTAAAAATAATTTATAAATATTTTAAGATATTTATAAAATTAAAAATCAATAAGCTGTGGATTACTTTTAAACGTAAATAAATAAATTTTTAATAAACATTTAATGTAAGATATTTCATATATTTTTAACAAAAGTTTCTAAAAATTTTTATCTTTATGGTAACTATTACAGAGATTAGTGTTCAGTCTGTTTACAGATAAAGTCTACATATTTTGAGAAGTAATATCTTTTAATGGAATTTTTAATTCTTCAAAAATAAAACAAGGGTCGTAAACAATATAAATTTCTTAATATTTTATATTACAAAATGTAAACATTTTTACTTATAGTAAATTCTGGACGTTTTGATTTCTTAACACAATATTTTATACCGTTTCCTTTTATATATGTGATATATAGTATATCTTAATATATATATATATGAATATAGTATAGTATTATATAATTATATAATAATTATAAAATTAATTTTTAACCAATGACAAACTATACTTCTATTTTACATTCAAGGCTAAGGCTTTGAACTTAGAATGAGCTTGGTCTAATTCCCAACTCAATTCTATCGGGTCTTGAATGTAACAAAGAACTATCCCTCTCTGAAAATTAAATTTATAAGAATAAAAGCAATAAAAGTATCTGTTTCCACCACTTATCAAAATAAGTTTTAATTTATAACATTTTCATACCATTGTTATAGAAGCTAAATTTAGGCGATTCATTGGGTGAAGAGGCTAGGTCAAACAGTCCTGCTGGTGTATCTAGGGCTATTTTCAATATTTTTTAAAATTTTTGATTTATTTCCTAAATATTTTGAAATTTTGAAATATTTATCCAAAATTTAATAAGTAACTTTTTCTTGTTTTATGTAATAAACTCCACATAACAATGTTTAAAATTTGATTATGAATTTTATGAAAAGATGTTATCTTTTAACTGAAGAGAGTTAAGAGAGTTAATCTTCAGAAATTTCGAATTCTTCTTGTGATAAGTATTTTTTAAATAGGTTTTAAAATCATTTCCAAGTTTTCTAAAGAATTTATTCAATATTCTATGCATAACTTTTCAAATGTTAGCAGCTATTTTGCTTCTAACATTTGAAAAGTTCTCAGCCATGTAAATCCCAAGATAAATTTTTCGGAATAGTGTGTATGAAATTGATATAAAAATAGCTATTTCTAACAATTTTAAAGTTAAAAGTACTTCGAATGTTCATACTAATAAAACATCAGAATCATTACATTTTATAAGAATTTCTTCGTGCCATCAAAAATTTGATATCAGCTTAATTTATTTTTTAATAGGAGTTTTATAAAAATTTATTTTTATTTTTAGTTCTAAACCCTGTTCGATCTACTTGCTCATACAAATCTCTCAACGTGAAGAATGGACGTTATAAAATAAAAGGAAGAGGGAGACTTGTAAGATTTTCTTGCAATTATGGTTACAAATTATACGGTAAATCTTACATAATGTGCATTATCGGTAAATGGAATTTTCCACCTCCAAAATGTGTCAGTAAGTTATCGTTCATTAAAGAAATAAATTGAAAGCTTAAATTTAGCGTTAAATGTTTTGGCTTTTGTCTTTTTAGGAGACGGATGTTCGGATTTAATTCCTCCAATGCATGGTACTCTAATAGAAAAATATGAAGGGGCTGTTGCAACTTATGAATGCGATCCAGGTTATTCACTAAATGGATCTTCCACAATATATTGCGATGGAATTAAGTGGAACCATACAATACCAAATTGTGTAGGTGAGTGTATTTAGTCAAATTATTTTATTTAAATCACTTTAAAAAGAACATGGCTTGTCATTTTCGATTTAATTCTCCATTCAATTCTTTGTAAGTGCATAATGGAGTATAGGTACCAAAATAAGCCCATACAATAGATCATATATATAGATATATATATATTTTATTTATGTAAAAGAACTATTACGTAGAGTTGAATTTATATTAGTAAATTATCAGATGTACTGTACAAATAATAATACAATCAGTAAATTCACTTATATAAGACTTGTATTTACGGATAGTAAATTATGGAAGCATTTTATACGCTTTCCTTACATCAATTTCTATTTTTGCTTCCAGATAAGTTTATTAAACTAAAACAAATTTCATAACTGAATTCGAATTTAAATTTAAGTTAAAATTTTAAATAGTTACTACAGATGATCCTTTGACATTTTGTGATTTCGAAAAATCTGATTTGTGCGGTTGGACGCACGATCCTAGTGGAGATTTCTATTGGAGTAGACATCAATTTGCAACTCCTTCAGGCCACGTAGGAACAGGTCCTAATCACGATCATACTAAGGGAGCTGGAAAAGCCGGTATATATATATATAAAATTTTTTAAATTAAATTAAATAAACAATTATTTATAAAAAGATTTTAAACTTTCATATTCTCATCGTTAAAGGATATTATATGTATATCGAAGCTTCGAGTCCTCGAAAAATTAATGATACTGCAAGATTATTTTCTCCAGTTTATTCGCCTAATTTATCTACATCATGTTTCACCTTTTGGTATCATATGTATGGAACTACTATAGGTAATTATGTAGATTTTTTCTTTTTTACTTTTCTGAGAAAACAGTTCATAAATTGAGTTAATTTATTTTCAATAATTTATTATTATAAATAAATGTCACTCTAGCATACGTTTTTAATCGAATTTTCTCATAATAAATTATATAATTATTTCCCTAAGATAAATATACTTTTCAGGAATGAAATATATTTTGTATTTTTATCAAGATTATCTATATCATTGACATTATAAATTAAAATTCATTCATATGTTTCATAATAAAATTCACAATAACATGATGATAAAAGCTTTGAATTTAGAAAAAATATTTATACAGTTATATTAGACATAAGAGTATAATTTATGAAATATAATTCATTTATATATTATAACAGTATAAAATATTCTAGTAGTTAATTTATTGTATAAAGATAAATTCGGCTGAATATTATAGATTATATATTATAAAAACTTGTGTTGCAATTAAAATGCTATCTTTGTATCTGTTACAAAAATGTATTCACAAAAATCAATTCCAATTTATTATACAACTTAATTATACGAATGCTTATTTATAATTCCAAAATGAATATTCTAATCGATTATCTTGAGCAGAAAAAATCAATTGCGCTAATTGAAGATAATTACTGTCCATTCATAAATTCTTAATTTTATTTTTCGAAGAGGTAGTTTGAAACTATAAATTTTATAATTTTTTCTCGTAATATTTTTTTTTTGCGTAAAGCATTCATAAAATTATTGCATATATAAATTTTTACACGCTTTTCCACGATTGTTTCTTATATACAGGAGATCCAAAAGTCAGTTAACCACTGTAAAGACTAAGTTACAATTAATTAATTCAATTGTATTTATCATCTTGCTTCGCCAAACTTTGTAAAATAAAAATATGGTTTAAATTTGGTTACAATTTATTTTTACAAGTGTAGTTGAAAAACAATAAAACACGGTTAATTGACTTCTGATCCACTTATTATTTTTACTAATCTAAATCACATAATTGCTGTTATCTTAAACAACCTTATAATAATTCTTGTATTTTTTTCAATTTTGATAACGAATTCATTTAGACAATTATAATACTCTTGTGCATTGATTTTTTTGTACAATTTAATACATATCTAGAAATTATTACGTGCACTTCCTAATTATTTTTACATTTTCTTCCTTATCTTTTATTGTTGCTGAAAACGGAATTAATTCACGTGAACATAAAATTTCTAAAATAACAGTTAAATTAGTTGTTATTTACTAATTTTCTTTCTACTACATTATTAGATTGTTTTCGTGTAAAATACTTAAAACGTTTGATAAAATAATAAATTTATTTTCATTAGATAAATGTTTTGTTTTTCGTCAATTTTCGCGTTCATATTACAAGAATTCGACATCATTTCGGAAAAATCACAATTATCTTTATCTATCTGACAATAAGAATCGAGCAATAAAATCGCTTATGTCAGTTTTCTTCTGTATCAGATTACATATGTTACTTCTCATAGTCTCATTTCTCTAGAAGCCAATTTTATGACAAACATTATTTTCTGTAATAATAAAAACAATAATTCAAGAGATTCGTATAACATTGTTTTACGAAGAGCCAAAAAAATTTTTGATAATAAATTGTCGCTCTATTTCGACTAAAGTCCTTTATTGGCTATTTAATAGCATAATTTAAGGCGCGGTTCAACTTTATTAATATCCGAAAATGCATCGAAATGACGAACAAAATTAGTAATAATTCATAAAAAGTTAGGCACAGATTCCGATTTAATATGCTTTAATCTTTATTATCTTTCCTTTTATTTATTAACGTTATATAAGTATCTTTATTCATTGAGATACGATAATCATTATCCCTAATTAAGTATTTGATGATTGTTAATTCTAACATTTTCGCAATTAAACTAAATAATAATGCGTACAGGATGCTTTTGAAAGCAGATTATTCACTCATACAAGTTTTATTTTATGATGATAAATACGTAATAATAAAGAAGTGATTTTTTTTCTTATACGCATATAAAAAGAACATCAAAATAGTTTAAAAAATAATTAATTTGTTCAGAATTTTTAGATGAATGCAAAATTTTTGTTGAGCTGTCTTATTTTAAAAGTTAATTCCTAGAATTAAAATTTAAGACAGAGAGAAATTTAATTTATATATATTCACATAAAATAATAATAGCGATATTAATGTACGAATTTTTAAAATTATAAAATTTTAAAAATTCTTACATTAATATCGCTATTATTTTACTCTTATGAGTAAAAGTGCTTCATAAATTATTATACATACGCATGCATATATTTATATTTATATAGGTTTTTTACTTTATTATCACTACTATCCCATTATATTTTTGTCAGAACTACTATATAATAAGGCAGTATGTCAGAAACAGAGATTGGTTTTCCACAAAGAACTTTATGAAGCATATTTTTCAAGTGCCAAAGCAACTTTCTTTTTTATATAGATAGATATATAAAGGGTAGAGAAAAGGAAAAAAAAACTTAAAATAACCTTGTCTGTGATACTTTTAAACGATTTTTTTCCCCTTCCAGCATTTCAATTTCATTTACCTATGAAGCATGAATAATATAATATTAAGAGAATGTCTTTCTAATGCATAACGAATGCGGACTAAAATAATAAAAAAAAAGAAAAGTCAGATAAAAATTATGTTGAGAGATGTCACATTTAAATATTTACACTATTTCTTCTACATTTCTTATTTTTTGTTGACTTTTAATCTTTGTAATATCATACATTTAAATGTAATTAATGTAAATTTTATACATACATAAATTAATATAAACACTTATTATACATTTGAAACAGTATTACCACTAGATTTAATCATCAGAAGTTTATGGATGTGTCTTAATTTCTAACGAAAAAAAAGCGTTTAGAAATAATTAGAAAATTAGTTTAATAATATAAAAATTAATTAATACTTTTTCAATTTGTGAGTGAAATTATCTCAAAATTAATTTATTTTAATGAAATTAAAATTAGCTGAAGTATAAATAATGAATTTAAAGATAATATAAAATTCATTTTCAATTTTTTTCTCATGTATAAAATTAAAAAATTGTATTTTTATTCCATGCTTATTAATGCATTTAATATCCATAAATAAATCTATATAAAATTTTACTTTAGGATATTAAACGTATTAATATGTGAGTATCTGTAAGATATATATTTTACATCGAGATTACTTTTAAAATATATAGGGTGGTCTCAAAGTCAGTTAACCGAAGTTATATTTTTAAGAAATTATCCGTGATTCAGTTGCTTCCAATAAAGCAGCCGCAGCTGTTTCAAATCAGTTTAACAGTTCTTAAAAATATATATTGATTAACAGATTTTTGGGCAACCCTGTGTAATAATGTTAAGAATTACAATTTTTAAAATCAATATTTTATGCTAAATCGATAGATACTGTTTTATGATCGAATTTAGTTTTAATTTATGTACAGTATTTATAATTATACAAATTATTTACTGTATATTTTATGGAATTATTAGGATCTTGATAATATGTTTATGAAATATATAAATTTAAATATTGAATTGTTGTAAGAATAATGTAACATTCGTTCTAAACATTATGTTGCTTTTGCAGTTTTCAAAGAAATTTTCAACTGAAGATCTTTAATAAAATATTTGGAAACAAATTGATATTTTCTGGAGCTGAAATGAACTATTATAGAAAATAGACGGTTTTAAAGTGTAATCGGATCCTGTTATCTAAATTATCATTAATAGAAAATCTTGTCAATTATTCAAATTTCATTCATTAGATACCATTCTGTAATTATGATGACGATGATAATAGTGATAACTAAAACTTATTATCTATACTTTTCTATCTTCTGCCTAATTATCTTCGGAAATAATTTACGGCAAGAAGAATTTTGATAGAGATTATTAAAATAACTCATTTAATTCCTCCGAACAATCGATGATAGTAATAATAATTATAATAAAGTGTTATGATTAATTATCAATGACACCCTACATGTTTTAGGTTCTCTACTCGTTTATGTCAAGACTGAAACTGATAATCTCCCAAGTCTTCATCCAGTTTGGCAAAAAAATGGCGATCAAGGAAATGTCTGGCTTAAGGCCACGATACCTATTCATCCTCTACACGATAAATTTCAGGTAGGCTACTCTTATCTTATTCTAGTCAATAATATTGCTAAAGGACACAAATTCAAAAAATCATGTCACGGTAAAATGATCACATATTAATATTTATTATCTAGTACACGTATTAATATAATTATCGATAGTGATCACAATTTATCACTGTTTATGTTATCTTGATTATTATTAGATTACCTAAGAAGCCGATCGATTATACATATTTTAACAGTAGAGTATATTTAACCACGTATTATTTTATCGAAATATCAGAGTTTAGGAATTTGATTCACGCCAATATCTTCCCACTCGTATAACAACACTAATATAAACATATTTTACTAAATATTATTCTCGTTAGTATTATGAATAAAGTTTTAAAAGGTCAAGTAATACAAAGTATATTCAAAATTTCACGAAGCAAATAATTTATGAAGTTAATGCTTCTCAAAACGAAGTTATGCTAGCGTAACAGCATTTTCTGTCATTAAATTCAAGCATTAAATCTTTTCTATCTATTATTTATCTAAAGAAAAAAATGGATTTTTTCTTATTTACTATAAAATAAGTGTATTTTATCATTCAAATTTTCTGAAAATAAACATTACATCACTCGGGTATCTTTGTTTGTTGCTTAAATAACTCATAAATCATTATTCAATATGAGTTTTATACTATATTTTTATCCATTTCTTTCCAAAACTTTATTACCTTAACATCAAAATGTATAGCTTTTACACACTTTAAAAATTGTTTCAATACACTTATCTCTAAAAAGAAAAAATTCTATTAAGCTCATACAACATATCGCTTAGTAAATTTAAAAACAAAAATAGTCAAGAAAAACAAAATGATAAATTTTCGCTTTAAAAAAGTATTAGTTTTATTTTTTTTATCAATTTTCTTTTTCAAATATTAATTTTAGATCGTTATAGAAGGTGTTAGAGGCGAAACTTACATAGGTGATATAGCAATTGATGACGTCCATTTGCAATTTGAAAGCTGTCAAGATAGTGAGTAGCAACATTCTTTAATTATCTTACGCTATTATTTATTTTCCTAGTATCGAAATTTTGTGTTTTACTTTTCAGATAATATCACTTCTTCCTGTAAGGGTAGATGTGGTCAAAATGATGGAGCAGCTATTTGTAATTGTACTTACGAATGCATAGAAACGTTAAGCTGTTGTGACGACTACTTTATCTGCATTCTTGAAAAACAAAATGGTAATTATCAAGGTATGCATTTTATTTTTTATTGAACTTTTGATTTTATTTATTTATTTACAGTTACTGCTGCTGTCACTACGACTAGTAGTACTACCACCATCTTCAGTACTACTAAAACTACGGTTTCAAGTACAAAATTATCGAAAGAAGTAAGTCGTTAAATTGTTCAAAAATTAAAAAAATTAACTAACTTTTTCAAAAATTAATTGTTTCGTCACAGACAACTTTCAGCCAAACCAGCAATACAACTTCAGCTATTGATGAGGTCATGACTTTAGTGTACGCAAATACTGATGACGTAAGCGTTGCAACTACCAATGGCGAGCGTGCATCCACGGAGATCAGGTCATCGTCTGAAGACAAAACAACCGAACGACCAATCACGTTGCTCTCTACCGAAGCCGTGACGAATACGCAAACTCGAGTGACGTTATCGAATGATGTGTACCTTACAGAGAAGCCAACCCGCTATCCAAGAACGAGGTGGTGGATTAAAAAAAATAGACCAAGTAGTTTAAAGAGAAGTGCTTTTCAAAAGCCGTTAGTGGATTATGTAGCAGTTGGAAGTTTTATAGGAGTATTAATTTTAATTAGCGCACTTATAATTATGATTTATTTTTGGAGAAGGCGTCACAAAAAACTAACCGAAGATTCCGATTTGAGATACTTACCGGATAACGAAATCATTGAATATTGTGAAGATAGAAAGCATAACATTGATACGATTTGAACAGGCTTTTTCGATTGAAAAAAAAAGCATTTTTAATTATATTTATCTTAGAATTTTGAAAGAAATTTTTGTTTTTCTACATCTTATTAAAGTAACGTTAGTTTATATTTAAAATACTTCAGTATCTTACACAATAGCCTATGTAAATAAACGCTTACTAATAAAAGAAAAAAAAAAAAAAGTCATATTATACATATAGCAAACGTGGCTTAAATTTAATGACTTCGTGACCGTCTTTTCGTTTTTTTTTTTTTATATGTGATTTATTCACGTGATGCCAGGCATTTATCTTATGTAAATTCATCTGAAAGCTTAGATTCTTTCGAGAAAAGTTCTTCGGCAAGACTTACGAGTTCAATTCTGCATCGGGAAATTGTTTTACCTAACTTTTGAAATGGAAAAATAGTATTAAATTGTCAGAATATTAAATTTCTAACCCCGGGCGATCATCTGGAAATTTCTTAAAAGTTACAAGCTAATTTTAAGATTTGGAAGGGGAAAAGGGGAAAAAATAGAATCGATCGATATTTACGAAAGCTTTTGATGATTGTAAATTATATTAAACTCGAATACATTTTGTGTTGATCAAAATCAAATGAAATAAAACAGATCCACGTCTTTAGTAGTGGGTGGGGTAAGTGGTCACAGGTGTGGTCCTTCTGCGGTGATATATTAGACACACCTAGATCAACTCTAGTGTATGAATAGTACATCGGTATTAGGTTTGCTAGAGGCTATCTTTTAACGATAATTATTGTATCTCTAGTAGTGTGTAGCTATTGACATAGTGCGTTTGTCCTTCAAGGGCGGTCATCTTCATCACTAAATTAAACTCTTACAAAGAGTAAAATGTCATTGAGAAATGTGACAGTTAATGAAAGTAAAAATAATATAAAAAAAGCTAACTCCAATCTAATTAATACATTTCATTGAAATTCGTGTCTAAAATATCAATTTTGCTCCTCTCAGGTTGTATTAATTAAGAATACGCCATTAGATAAATGGAAAATTACATTGAATAAATTAATTACACGAATTAACTTTTTCAAAAAAGTATTAATTTATATATGAATAGACATTTTTAAATTATTAATTTCTTTAACTCTTGGGACAATTTTAAGATTTTATGCCAAGGGATAAATATAATTACATCTAAGATAAAACGTGGAAAGAAGTCAGATGTAGCAATCAGCTAATGCTTTTCAATTTACTTAAAGATTGACTGAGAGGTGTTAATGGAAGACAAAAGCACTCGATTGTTACAAAAAATTATAAGAATTGTCTAAAAATTATGTATATAGGCCTATATATGAACTGTATTAAGTTTAATTATCATTAATCAATAATATTTTGTATTTAAGGCTTTAGAAAATTTATTTCAATCATTTTAAATGAAAATTTATCAGTGAACATTTAACTTTTAATGTAGCTGAATTAGCTAGCAATCATCATCGTCATCATCATCAGTAAAATTGAAGCAGTGCATCTTGTAGATTATTAAATCGATAAATAAAGATTAAAAACAAGAAAAAAATAATCAAACAGGAAACATTCCTAAAAAATCGATTTTATCCGCTTTAATTTTCATTATTATGGATGAACACTTGTTTACAATAACTTTTTTTTTCTGTCTATTTTGCTTGTTTTGAATCAATTTTAACTTAAAATGATGTATCAAATCAATAAAAATGTCACTTAGATCACTCCGAGATGAAATTTAACGAACAAAATATCGAGGAAGCAATTAAGATTAATTATGTTTAAGAATACATTTTATGTAAACATTTAATTCTTAAATAATTAATTCACTACGCATTAACTCAATTATATAAGAGATTTTTCGTTGTAACGATTTGAAAGGTGCATCTACAGGAAAATCAATTGGCAACTGGGTTTCTTTATAGATGCACTTGCAAATCGGTATAAGGAAGAGTGTCTGTTACGGGAAAACCATTTTATTTTGTTATAGATGCGGTATGAAAATCGATATAGAAGACTCCGTTTTAATTATAAATATTTAATTTATTTTACATATTCAAATTATAAGCAGATATATATATATATACTCACACATTTTTACACACACAGTATATATGTATATGTAAATATAATTGTAACAAGTATGGCGAAATTGATTTTCNTTCTTCTTGCAATGTTGTAACAAAAGTCATTGTTTTGTCAGCATTGTTTAATATTGTTTTTATTCAAATTATTATATTGTTTTTCCTTCTTCCTTCAGTTTGTGTTCTTCAGCTATCAAAATATTAAAATAAATTACATCACCACCATTGATAAATATTTATAATAGTCTCTCTTCTTTTCAATTAAGTTCTTTAAAATTTATCAACCTTTTAAAAATTTTATTGTTTTTAATTTTTAAGAGTAAAGTCACTATTATAAAAATGTAAATATCAAATTTTTATATTTTTTAATTGGCTTTTTAAATGTCATTTAACAGTTTGTTACACAAGTAAAATATTCATTTTTCTTAAATATAAATGTAATTATAAATTCTTCACTCTAATTTACGGCTATAAAAAACAGTTTGATTATCCTGTAATTATAATCGTAAATCATTATAAAGATGATACGTCTAAGTAATTACACTTGAAACATCTCTAATATTTTTTAGTGCTATTTTTTTAATTAGCTTTCATCTTAAATACAAATTAGATAATAAATTATGAAGCTTTTGATACATGTATATATATGAAGACGTACTAAATCAATACTTATTACTCGGAGGGAGTTGTGCTTTGTGACAAACAACGGAAATATTGTAAAGCTGTTAAGCATTCTTCAAAATATAGATAAGACTCTCATCTTTCACTGAACTGTATGCTATCTGCATCATAAATATCCTTTAGTGTTTTACAGTTTTCAAAGCTTTTATGCACACACGCACACTCACAAACAAACACAGATACGAAATATACGACTTAAAATTTGTTTGAGAATACGATGCCAGCTAGAAATCTTCAAGCACATCTTGTAGATGGGGCCAGAATTTAAATTTTTATTAATATTACTTGAATTTTCTACTGTTCTAGATGGATTTCTAGGTACTAAAAGTGGAAAACTCTGTTTTATTTTATAAACATTGAACATTACTAGATATCTTATCACAGATCAGAGGAGGAAAGAGAGGCATTAAAGTGAAAGATATCAATTTTTGTCTTCAGTCACACTATCTTATCTGAAATAAACGAGTCAATACATACTCTGAGAAACTGATATAAAATGATTTGAGAGAAAAATTACTTAAAATGAAAGAATATGTTTCAAAGAAAATCGAAGTGAAAAATTCTGTTTCGAAATCTTAGAAATTCCGATTTTTCCAGAATTTTATGTAGGCCTAACTAATCACACCATTCGTTTCGTGATTTGCGTGCTTGTATGTTAATAAAATTCCGTGAGGTCAACGAATAAATAATCACGTGACAATTTTTATCTTTGTCAAAATAGCAAATTTTTTTATAAAACTGATCTTATCTTATTTCTTTTTAAAGAAGATTATTTAAAAATAATTAAAACGTCGAGCTGCCGCGCAGTGAAGAATGATTTACAGGAGCTCAAATATCAACGAGAGCAATGGCTACGATAAAAGAACATAAAATTAAGAAATAATTATTATCTACGGAATATAGCGTCATTAATTTTCTACACAAACTTTAAAAATTTATTTAAAAGCAATTATAAAACCTCAATAAATTTATAACTTATTTATTTTTGACACGCAGCATCGATTGTGTAACAAGATCAAAATATAGGAAGAGGAAATTATCTAAAGTTTTGAGAAGAGAGATGAAAAGAAATTTTGGATATAAGCCAGTTGTGTGTTAGCTACACTTTTGATCAGGCATCGAGGAGACACCACAAGCGATATGCGACTGTGCACACTAGAAAGCAGACATAGTGCAGGTTTTACTCCAATCGTTCAGTGGCTCCACCTTCGTCAGTCAGACAAGTAGCACAGTCTGGAAAAGCGACAAAGCGGGATGTGTCACCGATTGAAATATCAGAAAAATCTTAAAGCCACCTGAAAATAGACAATGTGCCTGGATTCATCATGTTAACTAACGTGTGGACGATACTGTGGTTAACAACTTTAACGCATTCTAGGACAGTGCTGCATATAGGTGGTTTTTTCCCAACTACGGAAAATCGTGTAGAAGGACACATTGGTCGCGGTGTTATACCTTCTGTCAATCTGGCTTTGCAACACATCAATAATAGCCCGAGATTCTTGAGAGGATACAAACTGGAAATCTACTGGAATGATACCGAGGTGAGTGAGTTTCCAATAAGTTTTATTCGCCAAACATTAACACGTGTTTAACTAATTAATGGGATTAATATAACCATGCATCAATTAACCATCGATATGACTGATTAAATTACGTTTAATTAAATATAGTTGCATTTGAAAATGGTATTTTTTTTTCCTTTTATCGCTGTTGGAAGTCGCGCGCTTGCAAGTGAAGTGTCATTTACAGGGGCTCAAAGAAAATTTTTCTTCCGCTAGATATATATATTTTTCCTTTCCATCTTCTCTAAAAACGTTCTCCTTTTGTATATATGTTTGCTTTTCGTGTTTTTTTCTCAATATTTTTTTTATATTTAATTTTTGCAGCGCAATAAATGATAAACAGAAAAGAGAAATATCAATAAATCAAACAAGTAGAGTTGTTGTACGTTTTAACCGGTAATGCCAATTGTACGAATGTAATAACCATGTTCTGAATTTATAAAAATTGATTTTTTCAAAATTTATTTTTGTTGTAAACATTAAAAATACGTCAAAACATGCTACATGAATATTAATTGCGTTTCTTTTCTATTAGTATTCTCTTTTAACCTCATGATATATTATCATTATCTATTTCACACTTCGATTATTGTACAAGTTTTACATCGTTTAAATGCTAAATATAGCTTTAAGGTCTCTTCTTTTCAATTAAGTTCTTTAAAATTTATCAACCTTTTAAAAATTTTATTGTTTTTAATTTTTAAGAAGATCAACAGATGGAGCCATAAAAAAAAAGTCTTTTAAAGTATTTAGGACGAGCTGAGAAAATTTATGAATCTTCTTTGCACTCAAAAATAATCAATAATTTTTAGAAAAATTTTCATATTTTAAATTTGAGATTAACGCGTATTTAAAAATATATATAAAAATTCATAGAAAATTTATAATTCTTTAAGAAAAATTGTTATTAAATGAATATAAAAAGCAATATAAAAAATGTTAAAATATTCATTTAATTTAGAAAAATCATCTTAATTTTCTTAATAATAATAATAATAATAAATTATTTCTTAATTATTTTTTCTTTAATTAGTTCATATGATTAATTAATTAATTCAGGAAAATGTAAATTTTTCGATCCTTGTGCAGACTACATCTTGCTTTGTATAAATGTTTCGCTCGAATTTTAAGAAAAACGAATCTAAAATAAAATAAAATGGAGAAAGAAGATAAAGAAATGATCTATCAAGACTTGGAAGGAGGGACGAAAGAAGAAAAAAAAGTCATTTGGCGGACTCCAAGTTAATCTCCAAGCCCAGTGGTTAGATGGTTAAATTGGGCTTGAAGATTAATTTAGACCCCGCTAAATACGTCATACAACTAAGAAGAAAGAAAAAAAAAGTAGAAAATATGAAGAATTTCATAAAGACATGTAAGAAATATGTTTTAACCTTGAAACTTTCAATAATTATATAAAAAAAACACTTCTCAATATTAAAAAATAGGATATTTTTATATTAGTTTTTTCTTCTTACGTATAAATTTTAAATGTTAGTTAACGATATATACGTCAAATAACTATTTTTAACATCCGGTTTATAAAATTCTTCACAACCAACCAATAGCAAAAATGATTCTTTGTACGTCATTCCAGTCTCTCGACGTCAGTTTCAAACTTTCAATTTTATCCAATAGTAAACGTATTCTTGTTGACGTCACTCCAGTGCCTTTGACGTCATTTTAAATCAACCGATAAGAGATTCGAGTCTCCGCGCCTCATTACCCCCTTTGACATTTTTGAAAATTTAACCAATAGCGACAAACAATTTAATCTCGATCCAAATTACATTAATTGAAGATGCCAAGAAATTTTTAATTTAATATTTACCGTTATAACGTATTATTATTATTATAAATGTATTTAATATACGTTTAATTAAATTAAAAACGCAAGTTTTGAGTAACGTATTCTTTCGCCCTGCATAATCCAGCCGCATTACATCCGACTTCAATTTATAGCGCCGAAAAGGGGAAAAATAATTCTCTTAACTTTAACCCGATTACGCTTATTAAAAACAATTAATAACAATTTAATAATATTAAAAATGTAATTTACTGATATACCCGTCCGATGTTAGCGTTAAAAACACGCTTAGCGGCAATAGTGAAGCTTTAAAAATAGCGTTGATCCAATAAAATGCGATTTTGGTTTGTAGCTAGCAACAGAAAAAGAAGTGGAGAAACGTTTGCCAGCTGTTGTAACAATAGCTGACGTCTGCTTTCCTGTATGGAAGAGGTTTTTCTTTCCGAAGCGAAAGGAGTTGAATATTTTCAATTAAATATAAACCATTAGAGAAAACAGTTTTGTCTTAAACATCCATCAAGAACGTTTGTTTTCTGCTAAATTATTTGGGTTTTAGTGAGTTTTATCACGAAACCAGGCTTCAAAATCTCTAATAAACTTAACAATTTAGATTATTTTTCCATAGAAATTGGCAAATTTTAGACGGATCGAGCGCTTGTTATGCGCGTTATACGTCGTTAATTATCGCCTGTCTGGACTTCTACCTGTTATACAGGTGACTATAAACTGACAATACGTTAATAATGTTCGCCAATAATGCCTATATATACAAATATACTAATAATATTCCCTCAAATGTAGACTAGATGACTTTACATTGACAGTAAGCTGATGATTATGTTAGCTACTGCAAATTACTGATTATGTACTAAAGAGAGAATCAAGTCGCCACTATAAACGCATTAGGCTATATATTTTTATTTAAATATATTAAAAAAAATTTTAGTAGTAGTAAAAAAATATGTATTTTGCATCTAATGAATAAAATTGATATTGGAGAGAAAAGAAAACTAAAAATTTTCTTCAAGAATTTTACGCTAATTTAAAATATTAGGAATTAGATTATTTATTTTTTTATTTACAGTGCAGATATTACATAATTGCATGTAATGGCTGTAAGATAAGCAAATAAAATTTATCCATTGGGTGGAAAAATATTAAAAAATCTTACATAAAACACATTTATCAAACTGTGAACGTAATTTTTTTTACATTATTTCTTATAAATATTTAAACTTTCACGTTCCGAATTACCCCATTTCTC